CAAAAAAAAAAGAAAAAAAAAAATTCACGAAGAAATTCAGTGAGGAAGAAGATTGATTGAATGATCGTGTGCTTCTTAGTTCTCTCTTTCTCTTCTTCGTCTACCCCGCCCCTCCTTTTCCTCCCGCATCGTCTTGCTTGATTCATTGCGCGCCGATGAGTCCAGAGCTGCAAGCGAAGATGAGATCAGACATGATTCCTCGTCTGGCCAGGCAAAGGAGAGCTGACTTCTCTTCATTTCCTCCTCGTTGTTCTTCTTTTTCTTCTCCGTGGTCTGGTAGCCAAGAAAAATCACCGTGAGCTCTGTTCATTTCCACGTCTCCTTGTTTTTCTCTTCTTTTTCTTCTTCTCCTTCTTCTTCGGGCGAAGCAAAGGCAACCTCATTTCCCGTTGGTTTCTTCTTCTTCTTCTTCTTCCCATTTGTCCTCTTCTTGTTGTGCTTCTTCTCTCGTCTTGTGTCTTCTTCTTCTCCTACCTAAGCAAATGCGACCTTGACTTCTCGTCATTTCCATGTCGTCTTCGTCTTCTTCTCAGTGGTTGGAATGAGAGGTGGTAGCCATAAGGCGGATGTAGGGAGAAGGGGCCCCTTGAGGAGTGCCAGGTGCGCTTCATGGTCGAATGGCGTCGGGCAATGAGTGCGTGTACTGTTCAGTGCTGTACGTGCGGGATTGAAACGTCTGTATGATTGTACTTTTTTTTGGAAGCATCTGCGAAGAGCAGTTTGGCCGCTGGTGTATCACTATCACTATCACTATTATTATTTTTCTACTCGTCTCTTTCCCCCCCTTTCTTCTTCTTCGTTGTTATTACTACTATGTATTTACCAGGCTGTTTGTCCGGGCGCCCGGGCTACCCACTTCTACCAGGGTACACGCCCGGGCCATGAACCCTGGGCAGGGTTCTGGGCAGCCGCAGCGCCAAAGAAAGAAAAAAAGAACGAAGTTGGGGGTAGCATTGCAATACAAACGACTTTTGGCTCAGGGTCACCCCAGAATTTCTCACGGAAACGAAAGATAAAAATGAAAACAACGGAATCAGACCAAAGCACCCCCCCTCAGAGCCCTTTAGCCCCTCGAAAACCACTTTATATCCCCCCTGGCCCCCCCTTGACAGCCAACAATCTAAAAAAAAGAGAGGATCCCGGATTTGACCTCCGCTGGCCATGTGCATGGGTGCCCGTGCAGGTGACCCCCCCGGGCGACTTGCCCGGGCTGCACGGCCGTGGTGCACGGCCGGGCGAGCCAAGTAGCCTTATGTATGTATAGATATTGATACAGAGTCGGTGAAACTCCGACGCAAGTCTCTTACACCCCCTCGTTCCTCGTTTGTTGTCCTCTTCTCCCTCTCTGCCTATGGTTCACCGGGCAGCTCTGTATGACAACATGTATGCATGTATTCAATTTGTATTAAGTATATGCAAAATACATTTACTGTATGCTGTCATAGAGAACTGCCCGGTGAGCCGTTGGCAGAAAGGTAGAAAAGGACTGAAAACGGGGGGCTGTTCCTGCCTGTTTCGTCGGAGTTTCACCAACTCGTCAGGAGGCTGAACAAAGTCTGCAGCGTCCACTAAGTACTAACCAATGATATTGTAAGTGATAATCCACCTTAACCCCGGTCAGTTGTGATTAAGCATCAAAGACTGCGTGACAATTGATACCCTGCAAGGACCTAGGCTACCAGAGTGGCCCGAGGTCACTTGCCCGGCCGGGCCAAAAACATTAACCAAAAAAATAAAAAATAAAAAATCTTTTTTTATTCTAAATTTGGTGAAGAATGTCGATGTGATCCTGAGCCAAAAGTT